TGTCTACAGTGAAGTTGAAAAGAATACAGATTGAAAATGAAGACCAAATATCTCACCTGATCTGGCTTGTATCCCTTGCTGGTACAACGCTCAATGATTTCACCTAATTTTACCACACGATTTTCACCAGCAACCTCACGGATCAGTGTGAAGATCTTATCAGTCACAGTCTGGGCCCTGTAAAGTAATAATGATGTTGTTGATCAGAAGACTAATAAAAAATCTAACGTTATCATTTTCATATGTACATAATTTATAACTATATAATGGAAAAAGCAAAGGGAAAATGCACACCAACCTTCCTGTTCTCTCTTCAGTATGGTTCAGTGAATCCTTGCTCATCTCAATCAGGCGCATAGCTTCATTCACATCCTCTTTTTCCACCTAATGGACATGAAATAAAAAATGAAGGAATCTTAAGGAGAAAAAGATAAAATTCTTACAAAAAATAACACATACAACAAACAAACATCTGAATCACATCAAAGAGTAAAGAAATACACTTACAGCATCGACAAGTCGAAGGCGTGCAAGAGCAGTGGAGAGACGCAGAACAGCAAGAAGAGTTCGAGCAGAGGTGAAGGTCATGTCTTTGTTGTTACGAGCTTCCTTCCTCATCTCTACGTAAGCTGACACAAGGTAGTCGGTCAAGTTCTCAGGGATGGTGGGTTGCTGTAATCAAATTTAACAATGATAAATCCTAATCACCAAAAACTTAAATACTTCAATTTCATTCTAAACCATTGTCTAAACAATCAAAAGCTTTTAATGTATACCTTCTTTTTGCAAAGAGCAATGTAACGTCTCATTAGCTTCATGTCAAGTGGCTTGAACTGGGTAGGTGGTTGGGCACAGTGCTGATGAACATAGGTGATATGCTGAGCCAGTCTGCAGAAAAAGACATTGTAAATCAATCATAAAAAAAGACTATCTACTATACAGTTTTACATATGGCAAAGCAAATTGTTTTCAAACTGCAATTTTGTTCTTACAACAATGGCAAATAAATTCCAAAAGTCATACCTCAGATCATTTTCACGATCTGGCCTATCTTGAATGAGCCACAGAAGATCAAAACGAGACAACAGTGCTGCTGGAAGCTGGATGTTCTGTTCTACAGACTTCTTCGGATTGTAGCGTCCATAAGCAGGATTAGCAGCAGCAAGAATACTCACACGAGCATTTAGACTTGTCATGATTCCAGCCTAAAAAAACATTTATTCATGTAACATTTTCAGTCTGTATTTCTTTTGCATGTTTTCAACGTGAACACGTGTTCATTTTATAACCATTAATTTTTTCTGTAGTCATATTGAAGAACCTCCATAAAGTAAGAAGTAGCATAAAAATAAGATTTTTTGACAGGTTTACAATATGCTCCGAGGATGATCATACTATTAAGTTGCACTTGAAAGTACATGAACAATAATTACCTTTGCAATGGAGATGGTCTGCTGTTCCATCACCTCGTGAATGGCAGTCCTGTCAGAATCAGCCATCTTGTCAAACTCATCAATGCAGCAAATACCCTGATCAGCTAGCACTAGCGCTCCTCCCTCCAAGGTCATTTCACCTGTTAGGGGATCCTTCATCACAGCAGCAGTTAGACCAACACCGCTGGAACCTCGGCCAGTTGTGTACTGGCTCCTGGCGGCCAGCCGGTCAATGTAAGAAAGCAACTGAGACTTAGCCACACCAGGGTCACCCATGAGGCAGATGTTGATGCTACCACGGATTTTCATGCCATTGGGATTGCAGTCAACACCACCTACGAGGAGGAGGAGAAGAGCCTTTTTGACATCTTCATGACCATAGATCTCTGGGGCAATGGAGATTGCAAGCTTGTCATAGAAGTTCTCCTCTGCAATCTGTTTGATCTCTGACTCAGTCAGTTCGTCAGCTCCCAATTCATCATCCTCTGTCTTGTTCATCTGGACTATCCTCTGTGAAGTAATACATAAACATTTTCAAATATTCAATCTTTATATTTTCTGTAGCTTGTTTCTCTTTTACAAAACCTGTGTATATTCAGTTCAATTAATCAAACTAGATACTTTGCTGTACTTACATGGGCCTCCAGGAAGGTGTCTGAAAGAAGACCCTGCATCATCGCCCTAAAACCATGACGCAAGAGAGGCATGAAAACACCAGTAATGGCAACATGGTCACCTGGCTGACAAAGTCTGGTTTGTTCACCTCTGCACATCACAGTCAAGGATCTGGGGATGTTGCCCACTGGAACCTATGAAATAATTTTAATTAGTAGTGATCATACCATATGACATTCTCAATGTTGCAAATCTTGTCATAAAAAAAATCAAAATAATTCTGGATCAAATACATGTCTTAAAATTTACCTGATCAGAGTGCTCTTGAACTTTGATTTCCTGGAATTTGATAAACTTTGAGCCACGAGTCTGCAGGTACAAGCGTCCACCAGATTTGTTTACCCTACAGTCTTCACTAGGGCAGAGCAACTGTGGCATAAAACTTGAGGACTGAATCTGTAACCAAACACATCTGTATTAGCAATATTCAGAGTTGTCTCAGGGACTTATCTTACAATATGTAAATAGTCTAATCTGCTACATACACAATAAAATAAAACTTACCGGCTGGTAAGTCTCAGCACCACACTGGTCACAAGTGTAAGTGGCTACTTGCATCATAGGCTTCACTTCCGTACACCTAGTGACGATGCCTCGCACTAGAACTAGTTTTCCGATGTGGGATGCTTTTACGTTACGAATGGCCACAGGCTTTTGGGCTGATGGAGCCTTGAAGTAGACTTCACTGGAGGAGAGAAAAATCATTTAACATGTGGTGACTGTGACCCTGTAACGCCCATAATATGTCGTAGCACATTACAAATGGTAATTTGAATCTACAACTTACTATCTCCTGATCAGCTCTGGTGGGTATCTGTTGCGAATGTCACGGACATCACCAGGCTGTCGTGTGCGCTGCTCCATCATGAGGCGATGTTCAATGTAAACATCCAGAGCATCCCTAGCTACTGTCTGAAATACACAATTTTATATATATTACACTAAATTAAAAGTAAAATGCATAACATCACTGTCAAAACTCCTAAATGCATAAAGAAGTCAATATACCCAACACATCACAGTATAGACTTTGCAAATTAAATTAGTACACGCTAAATAATGATGTATGTATATACACCATACTGACAAACGGTCTAGTCTGAAAGTGGCAAGTACCTCTCTTTGTTTATAATCCGGCAACATTTCGTAGACTGCCTCTGAGACCAGATTCAAATAACGTCTGCTGTTCTGCACAATTGCTTCTGCCATATCAGGGTCAAATTCAGCTGGAATCAAAACAAAAGTTTAAATGCAAGTCCATCTTACTAATATCATACTAAGACCATCGGCACCAATTAAACTAACCAGTACCTGTTAATCATCAATTTACAAAAAAAAAAAAAAAAAGGCCTTACCAACATCCTCAATCTCAATTGTGAGGCTGACTTGCTCTCGGTGCGCCAGCTCAACCAGCTGCGTGGCGTATTTGAAGCTCTTGCGGCCATCGTCTCCAACAGTGTGAAACTCGGCCAAGAACCGCTTGATGGCCTCTGTCGGGGAGAGAAAATGGTGAAAGGGTCGATTATCATCCAGCCATCTTAGACGAAAATTAATACAAGCAAACGACAGAGCAAGTGATTCTAATAAACTCATCTTTATGTCGTTCCGTCGCAACTGAAAAGAAAGAACCCGCATAAGACGGAAAGGGCAATCCTACTGACTGCACGCTTACCCAATTGTTTTTGGTCAGCCACGAGCTACATCCTCCCACGCCAAACTAGCTGCCGACAAACCCGTTCTCGGACTTGACTTCGAATCCGTCCAACAAAAACTGATGCTATTTACCGAGCGTCCGGCAGATTAAAGATCAACCGTCGTCTTTCCTTCCGCCTCACGCCCGAAACGCCGTAGATAAGCACCCCAAACCTTGCATCTCGTCTCTCCTCAATTCCAATCCACCCTGGCCATTCGGGGGCGGAGAGCTAGGCCTACATCCTCCGTCCCTTGGTGAAACGGCCTACACGAATGCCAAGAAAATGCCATCCCACCCGACCTTTGTTTCGCCTCCTGTCACTTGTCAGAACTAAGTCTCCCTGATCCTCATGTGCGGCGACAGCGAGGGCAGAGCTGGTAGGATTCCCGTGGGCTTCTTTCCCCTCGAATCACACTTCCATTGTCATTTATGGAGGAATTTAACAGATTTGGTAAACTTCGGATGATTTTTTTTTCTCTAAGTCGTGGAAATATCTGTTCGTGTGCTTTACGTGCATTAATCAGGCGCGAGGTTTGTAAGGGCTCGATCTCTCCACCCAGGGAGCCATTCACCCTGAGTATTTACCTCGAATAAGGGAGAAAAATACAACAAAACACAAAATCGCTCAAGTACATTCTTCCGCCTCTCAAAGCCCGCCAAAACCGCCGCTCCGACCTCCCTTTCCTCACAAATTCACTCTCTCTTTGGGTAAATGCGCTAAAATATCTCCAATCACTATGCCTTACCCTTCTCTTGGTCGTAGTCGCGCTGCTTGCTGGCCATGACGTCGGGTAACGAGAGAAATTCACGAAAAGGCGAGAGGAGCGCGCGTTCCCAGCCTCACTTTGGCGCCGAATCTTGGGGGGAAGAAGGGTAGCGCTCGAGACTGAGAGAATTTTCCCTCTCTCTTCTGTTTTCCGGAGATTCGGGGTTCTGTTGCGTGAATTTATTATTTCAAAGACAAGTATTTTTTTCTTAGTTTTTTGCTTGTTAACAGGGGGCACTGCTGTTTTTATAAGGATACTTGGGTATGAACTGCAGTTCTTTATCCTTTTGTGAATTTGCTTCTGGGAGAATCTTTCAAGACGAATTTTAAATTCTTATTTTTGTACCATGGAAGAACAATATTTTCCCAATAGATGTACCTTTCTTGCCTACTTATATTTCTAAAAGGGTGAAAATCGTGGCTAAAAGGTCATAACGCCATCGGGGACGGGGAAATAATCGGGTTTTTATGAAGCGGTCTGGCACCGTCCCTGCACATGCGCACTACCTTTGTTTAGTTTCCAATCTGATCAGCTGTAGCAATGGTGAGTCAATGAATATTGTCCTATGTCTCACCTTTATTCTTTCCCATATGACATTCTAGCCGTCCTTACAAGAAAATAGCACACAAGGTTAATGTTCCGAATTTCTGTCTCTTTTTCCAGCACAAGCTCAAATCCTCCCAGAAAGAAAAGGTCAAGCAGTTTATTTCCTTCACCCAAACGGGCGAGAAAACCGCAATATACTGTCTTGCTCAAAATGACTGGAAACTCGAACTCGCCTCAGACAACTTCTTCCAAAATCCCGATTTATACTACAGAGAACAGAGGCCGTCAGTCGACAAGAAAAAGCTAGAACACCTATATAACAGATATAAAG